AGAAAAGAAAAGAAGACAAGACAAGACAGAGGAACTGTTACAGATTAGAGGAGACGAAGTAAACATAAACTAAATGCAATTTGGGATCCTGGATTGAATCCTGGAACATAAAAGGACATTAGTGGAAAAACTAATGAAATCTGAATAAAGTCTGTAATTTACTTAGTAGTTAACTGTACTGTTTCAGTCAAAAGCACTGTACTAATATTAATTTCTTAGTTTTGATCATTGTACTATGGTTGCATAAGATATTAATATAAAGAAAGGGGATGAAGGACGTATGGAAACCCTTTGTAATAGTTATGTAAGTCTTCTATAAATCTGAAATTCTTTCAAAATAAAAAGCTTTTGAAAAATCTTGGATGATAAAAACAGTACTAATTGCAATACTACATTCATTGGTTTTTTTTTATCTTAAACTATCAACTTACCTGAACTGTGGATATTGTTTTCCAGTGAATGCTACATTATCTCTACTCTTACTTTATGCTGGGTCAGTCATATAATATAATAAAGCTCTAACAAACCAATGTTCTACCAAAAATAGTTATGCGCCTAATTAAAAACACTTAATTTCCTTTCACACCCTAAAAATGACCAGTAATTAGAACTCATCTTCAATTATAAGCCTCCACAGAGCTGTTATCTTCAATAGAAGCCAATACTGTTACTGCTTACAGTATAAAAATAGAAATTTAAATAAAATCCTTACCTTCCAACCACTGCCAGCCTCTCTATAATATGGGAAGTTATCACAAATCCACTGGTAAATCTCACTTAGTGTCATTTTCTTTTTGGGTGAGCTATTAATTGCAAATGTAATGAGGCTGGCATAACTGTATGGAGGTTTCCCATCTTTGTGCTGTTGGACTTCTTCCTGGTCCAGGGTTGTATTGGGGTCAAGGAGTGCATTCTTCTTGGAAATTCCTGTTCCATGTGCATTCTGTGTAGCATCAGATTTTTGGATGGCTGCTCTCATGGTGAGCTGTGGTAACCAGTCCATAGATGTAAGGCTGCTCTCCAATTCAGATGTCATCCTGAAGGTAAATAGACTCCTTAGTCAGTATCAAGGAAAGAACCCCTGCTTCTCAAAATATCCAATATTCACAAATCTAGGAGTTCCAAAGTGAGGGAAAGCCTGAGTTAAATCTGGAGGAAAAAGATTGAGTATGTTAATGACCAAATCAAATATTTAAGAGATCAACATTTCCAATCTTTTTTCTTATTTTTATCCTCTCCAAAACACAACAAATTTGGTTTTAAAATGTTTAAGATACAGCACAATATATACACACAAAGTGATTCTGATGCTAACCTTTACTCACCAACACCAAGGACCCTTTAAAAACTTAAGTCTTTAAAGACTTAAATTTTAGGGGAGTCATACAAACAAAAGAATACCAAAAGTAAAGTGGAGGTAAGAGGTCAGAAAAGTACCTGAGAAATGGGCACAGGAATTTGCTCAGAGAAAATAAGGTAGAGCTGAGCAGGTGAGAGAGTAAAAAGAAGGGTAGGCAGGACTATCAAGGAGACAAACTAGCTGGGGGAACTGACAGTAAAGAAGAATACAAGCTCAAGAGCACTGATGAGCAGGAGAAAAGGGATAGACAGGACCAGGCAATTTCTTTTAAAAAACAAGTCAAGGAGCAAGTTTAAGAAAACTAACTAAAAACCTGGGAGCGCTGGATGTAAGACATTAAATCACATAAATGGATGGCAAGAAAATAAGCATTAAAAGCTCAAGAACAGGCTTAATGCAAACATCTAGTGATCTGGATTCTGTAAGGTATTTCATTCCAAGGCTCAAAAATTCAGATCATTACCACCCAAAAAAAGAAAAAAGAAAAACAAAATCTGTCAGGTTAGCACACTCTGGAGAAGGGAGGAAGCTCTTCTAAGAATTAAAAATACAGAAACAAAGCATGACACTTCACAATGGAATTGCTAAATTTCAGCAGAAGGTACTAACCTTTCTATCCTGGAATCAAAGAAGCAGGAATAGTGACCCTAACTATAAAGTAAAGAAAAATATCAAAATAAAGGGGAAAAGAGAACAAAGTAAGAAACTTCAAAAGTTTCATTCAAAAGAAAAAAATGTGTCCTAAGAAAATCCCACAAAGGTCCCTCATCCCAAACGTCCGCAGATAAAAAGCAACTTGGGGTATATGATTAGGATCTGAACTTCTGGGAGGCATGTAGTTGATAAAGAACACAGGCTCTTCTTGAGTCAGGCAGACTAGAGTTCAAGAAACCAGTTACTCTACCAGCTACTTGCTGTGGGACCCTGAAAATGTTAGTATTCCTAAACTTCAGCATTCTCATTTGTAAAATGAAAAACTAGTACCTACAGTTAAAACATTACTTTGAGAAGTAAATGTGATAACATATGCACAGAAGAAACATTCAATAAGTGTAGTTACCTTTGGGAGGGTAATTAATAATGCACTATAAAGTAAACAGATTAAGCACTAGCTATTACAAATCAAGAAACAACCATGAGGATTCTATCTGCACTGCCAGTAGAGTCCTATTATATACTGTTTTCAGATATTTAGATCTACAGTTTTACCTTTCTCATTTTCTCAAACTGCCTTCATTTCTATTATATGCATGTCTCTGGAACCTGAACTTTAAATTCCTCTATACAGTACCTTCTGAGATCTTAAAAAACAAACAAACCAAAAAACCAACCTGCTCTATAATCTCAGCCAGAAATGCTTGCTTCCAACATGAAATAAGTTAAAAGAACTTGTGGAACAAAGAATCAAGATAATTTAGAGATCACAGAATGTCAAGAGAGTAGGCAAAGTACCCTAGAGATTAGAGACCAATCCCTTCAATCGAAAAATGAAAAACTAAGGTCTACTGAAGTTAAAAGACTTACCCAACTTCACACGGTAGTTAACCGTAGAACTAAAACCAGAGCCCAGATCCCCTGATGTCCAATCCAGCAGTGTTTCTACCATGCCTCATTTGTAAAATGAGCATAATTATTACCTTACTGATATAAAGTACTCAGAACAGTGACTGGCAAATAGTAAGTATTCAATAAATGTTAGCTGCTGGTGGTGTTGGTAATAATAGTAGTTACTGCTATTACTATTCACATTTCATTCTATAAACATTGGCTATTATTACACCATGCTGTCATCCTATTTGCCTCAATTAAGTCTCCACTGAGTAGCTTTATTTTGTTCAAATTCCCAAAGCAGCCAGTCACATACATTTTCAAAGTTAATATAAAAGTACATTCCAAACTGGAATATAACTGATATTGCAGATGTTCCCTATTGAGAATCATCTTTAACTTGTTTAATTCCACTAGCACCACTAATTAAGAATTTATGAGTCAAAGTAATATAATGAAACATACAATAAGTAGGTACTTAATACATTATAACATTTAAGAATTTATAATTATACATGTAGAAGGCTATACTACAGTAAGATTTTATAGACATACATACATGTACACACATGCGCGCACAGACACATGAAGTATGATAAAATTCCTGCTCTCTGGGAACTCATAGTTCAATAAGGAAGGTCAAACACAAGAAAGAGCTAAAAAAATGAATACAAGGCTGAGCTCTTCTTTGTGCTGCAATGGTTCAGAACAGGGAGCGGACAACATGGACTGAAGCCTTAAGAAGTAGAGAAGGAAGAAGTTCAGCTAAAACTTGAAGTTAAGATCTAAATAGGCTGGAAAGATGATCCCTAGTTATCAAAGACATCATAAGTAAGAATTATTCCATTGTGCTTATTTTCATCAGTCCTGCTAGAGGAGATCTGAAGAACATTATAAAATCTGTTTAAAAAGTGGGGCTTCTGTTTCGTTTTCAAGTTTACTAAATTTTACACATTTTGGTAGAGAAATAAAAAAGTGCCTCCACTGTTGGTGGTTAGGCTAGTAGCTGCAGTAGTTCTCCATTAAGTGCTGAAAACACAAAAAATGATCATTACATTTGACCAGATCAGTAACTTTAAATGAAACCTCTTTGCGAAATGGGGATGACAGAGGTCCACTTTTATAAAAGAACAGATGGTAGTAAATTTTAAAAGAGCATGGGAGGTTCTAAGGAATCTGGTTATGAAAATCTGGTTAAGAAATGTCAGGCCCTCATTACCTCACCTAATTCCAAAAGCTTCCTAGCTGGCCTCCTAGGCAATGATTTCTCACCACTCCTCCCTGCTAATCATCTCCAGAGTCTATGCACACACTCCAAGAGAAATCTGTAAACACTGTTTTCCGTGTAATCATGCCNGAGGTTCTAAGGAATCTGGTTATGAAAATCTGGTTAAGAAATGTCAGGCCCTCATTACCTCACCTAATTCCAAAAGCTTCCTAGCTGGCCTCCTAGGCAATGATTTCTCACCACTCCTCCCTGCTAATCATCTCCAGAGTCTATGCACACACTCCAAGAGAAATCTGTAAACATTGTTTTCCGTGTAATCATGCCCAAATACTTTTAATGGTTCTCTTTCTCCTATTACACATTCCGGGGGGGGGCAAACTTCATTTTCAACTACCTTAATCTTTTATTAATCCTTCTCTATATTACTAGAGCACTATAACCTCAATTTGGCATTTACCATGCTGCTTTATATGTACAACTGCTTCATACGCTTAAGCTTTCTACCCTCACTCCCTCTTCCCGCACCCTCCCCATTAAGCACAATGACCATACACTATTACTTGAGATGCTATCTGACACCATAGCAGGTATGTGTTACTTAAAAAATATTTAGATACGGAATAAGAGTCTTCCCTTCTGAAATGCCATTTTCCTCTTACTCTGCCTAGCTGGCTTCTATTTTTCCTTCAAGACTCAGCCCCAAACATCTTCCCCTCCAGAAAACTTGGTCAATCCACTCTTCCCATCCTCTGTCTCCTAAACTGAACTAGATCCTACTCCATAGTATATAAATACCTCTATCACAGGACTTATAAAAAATTGTAATTATTTTTACCTATCTTTCTCCCATGAGACCATGCATAAGCTCCTTGGAAGATACTTTATTATTCTTTTCTGTCTCCCCAATGCCTAGTTAACATAGTAGATAAAGGATCAATAAAAGGTGGTCAAATGATTAAAATAGTGACTATCCAATGAATGTGTGAGTATGCTCATCCCCACACAAGTGAGACCCTCCACATTTAAAAGCTAAAAGGAAGAGGTGAAAGAAGACTCAACAGCATGAAGTAAGGATAATCACAGGATCAAAATCCTGTTTGAATTGGAACAATGTATGACTCCAGGCACAGAATGACAAACAGCACTACACTGGAACACAGTTCTACTTAAATAGCAGAGAAAAATGGGAAGATGGAAGCAAAGATAAAAAGATAATGCTACTGCCCAGCAGGCATGGCTCAGTGGTTGAGCGTTGACCTATGAACCGGGAGGTCACAGTTCAATTCCAGTCAAGGCACATACCCAGACTGCAGGCTCAATCACCAGTAGAGGGTGGGCAGGAGGCAAGCGATCAATGACTCTCTCTTATCACTGATGTTTCTATCTCTCTCTCCCTCTCCCTTCCACTCTCTGAAATAAAAATAATAATAATAAATTTGCTTTTAAAAAGATAGTGTTACTTATGGGAGAAAGGAACCATGGAGAACTTGTATCTGAAGTTCTTAAATCTATGATGGTATCTGTTTCTTAAGTTCCATGATACCCAGCTAGGCGTGGCTCAGTGGTTGAGCATCGACCTATGATCCAGGAGATCAAGGTTAGATTTTCAGTCAGGGCACATGTCCGAGTTGCGAGCTCGATTCCCAGGAGGGGACGTGCAGAAGGCAGCCTATCAATGACTCTCTCACCATTGACGTTTCTCTCTCTCTCCCTCTTCCTTCCTCTCTCAGAAATCAATGAAGATATTTTTTTTAGGAAAAAAAGTTCCATGAGGAAATTTTTTCCTGCATAAAGTGAAAAAGAAAAGAGCATCAAGATATAAGAACTCAACATTAAGTCATGACACAGGAGGAGGAGAGAGGGTTCTAATCCCCCTTTATGAAACACTGCCACTGATACGA